GCAGCCCGCTGCTCCGCAGTGGCGTCCTGACGTCCTGGGTGGAGGTTGTGGCGTCCTGACGTCCTGGGTGGAGGTTGTGGCATCCTGACGTCCTGGATGGAGGTTGTGGCGTGTGCGAGGGTGGCTGTGTGTCCCGCCCCTGCTGCCAAAGCCTTGGGTGCAGTAAGCCCAGCCTGGCCTGAGGGTCAGCTCCCGCAGGAAGGTCCAGTCCACAGCAGGACCGGCTGACCGGCTGTGGGGAGGGAAGCGCAGTGCAGGGCGTGGTCAGCTCTCCGTCCCGTGTCCTCTTCTGCAGGACGTGACCACGCAGTCTGTGATGGGCTTTGACCCTCTGCCTCCTCCAGACACCATCTACTCCTACACGAGGCCCGAGAGGTACTGTCTGCATGTCGCTCGCTCCTTTGCTTTTTGGCTCTGAGGTCAGTGCTTTGGACCCTGGGCTTGCTACCTCCTCCAGACACAGCCCGCAGCACAGAGTGTTGGGGTCACGGACCGGCCTCTGCGGGTGCGGACTCCGTCGGTTCTTTCTGTCTGACGGGGAAGCGCTGCTCGGTCGCAGGTGCTGGGCATTCAGCGGGAAGCAAGAGTGAGGCCAGCTCTGTGCTCTTGGCGCGTGCAGTGCGGTGGGGGAACACGCCGGGGCAGGGCCTGGGGACTGCCACCAGCAGCTGCGGGGAAGGAGTGGTGGGCGCACTGAGGCCTGAGGCGCCCTGACCGGGTCGCGAGGTGACAGCCGCTGGGCCTGAGCGGAAGAGTCCGCCCATGCGAAGGCCCGTGCGTCTGGGCCGGGAGAGCGGGGGGTCCGTGGCTGCGGGGTTGGGGTGTGCAGCTGCTAAAACCGTGTCATTGCGGAGCCCAGGGTTCCCCAGCGCCAACCCGCAGGTCTGGAAGGGTCATCCACAGCCCTCGTCCCATTTAAGGGAACAGGGGCTTCCAGGTCATGGTAGAACATGCTTTGTGGGGTGATTTTTTTTTCCACTGAATCATAACAATTGGATTGCATGTTCATGAGGTAACATTTCCCAGTTAAACTCTCCAATCAAGGTAGAAATTACTGTTTCGTGGGTTCAGAAAGAAGCTGACACACTGGACATCACAGCGTTGAGGAATGGCTGCAGGACTTCACTGACTCGGGGGTGTTCCCCGCCTGTCCCCCCAGCCCTGTAGGCCGTCCGCTTTCAGAGCAGAGGAGGCCCCTGCGGAAGGGCACCTCTGTCTCGTCGGGCTGGGCTGCAGTGCCTCCCTTCACCAGGAGGGGTCTCCACGGAACACTCGCCCTGGAATCTCTGTGACCAGTTTACGCCCCTTCAGCTCTCAGCGCTGAAGGACACCCTGGACCCACAGGGTCTCTCAGAGGCAGGCACCTGTGCAGTGGCCAGTGTGCAGCCTGGCTGTGGGGGCCCTGCTTTCCACTTGGTTCAACGAGCCAGCCCCCCTTAGGAACAGCCTCCGCCTTTGCCCCTGGGGCTCCAGGCCCCAGCTCCAGCTGCTGCCATCCTGTCCCTGCTCTGTCTCATGACCCCCCTTCTCCCTTTCAGGCTGAGTCCTGTCAGCCGTGGAAACACAATTGCCCTCTTCTTTCGGTCGCTGCTGCCCAGTTACACCACAGAGGTAAGTGAGCGTGCGGTGGCCTCCCCCGCTGACCGGGAGCTCTGCCGGCAGCGGGGCACCCCGTCTGCCGAGCACGCCGGCCATGCCCGCCGGAGCCTGTAGCTGCCGAGTGGACAGAGCACCCTCCTGTCAGCATGGCTGTGCCGGACGCATGTGTGTGGCTTCTGGGGCTCCCTCGCCTCCACAGCTTCCCCTGTGCCCGGCAGCCCCGCTCACACGGGTCTCGTTGCCACAGGGGGAGAGGCCCGAGGATGGAGGGGCCGAGGGGCTGGACCGCAACCAGGGCTTGAACAGGCTGATGCTTGCCGTGCGGGACATGATGGCCACCTTCCACTTCTACGACCCGGAGGCTCCGCACGAGGCCCACGCCGAGGGGGACGGGGAGTGGGACTGAACTCGGGGGCACCGCGCCCGCTCTGTGCAGTCGCGGTCCTGACTCATCTGGTCGGAACTGGCCAGCTCCCTGAAGTAAAAATGTGGTGTCCGCCTGCCTGGCCTGTCTCTCCTGTCGGCAGAACGGCCACACCTGCACGTGTAACCCGGCCTTCCCGGGCTGCACCTCTGCCCAGCGCGCTGCTCTCGGGACTGGCCCGGGCTGGCCTCGGCTGGGCACATGGGCGTGGGCTGCCCAGCCCGGTGGAAGGGCTCTGTGGGGAAGTGCAGGCTGAGAGGGTGGCCGGGGGATGGGCAGGGCAGAGACTGGGGGCGTTTGCTCCCCAGGGTGAACAGAGCGTGTGGGTGGGCCGGTCAGCTGGGGCAGGTCCTGGCACGCCTGTTTGGCAGCTGAGAACCACACAAGGCTGCCGGTGACTCGGGAGCCTGTTTGGGTCTGGGAGGATCCAGGGCACTGAGTAGTGAGTTGGAGTTATCCTGTCTGCTGGCTGCCCTCCCGGTTGCAAGGAAACGACCCTGTGACCCAGCTCTGGCCCAGCCCTTCCCGAGATTCCCCCGTGGCGAGAGCCAGGGGGCGGCTGGCTACACATCCCACATGGCTGTGTGTCCCTTGGCCCTTGGGCACCTCTGCAAGGACAGTGTGGCCGGGCCACCTGGGCTTTCGGCCAAGCAGTGACCCCACCTCACTGGTGTGGCTGTGGCTGGATGCAGGAGCCCCCTCCCCCTTCACTGGGCTCCTCGTGCCCTGGTGTCCCCATGGGGCCCACGCGCACATCAGATGCTCGTGTGATGCAGGCCTGCCGTGTGCCTGTCACTGTGCTTGGTGCCGGGGGTACAACCGTGAACAAGACCCAGGGCTCCAGCTCTCACAGCCCCTCCCAGTGGCTTGGGAACATGCTGGTGGGTCAGGTGTCTGGGTTCCCGGCGGGCGGGCTCCGGGGATACCGTGTCCATCTCTTCTCTGCACTCCAGCTCCCGGGTGCTGGAGATGGATGGGGTGGTGTGACGGACCTCAGGGTTATCTGTGGTTGCCGTAGGTGTTTTCCCCACGACTGTGACTAACCACGAAGTGGACGTTTTGCAGCTTGGCTGTCCCTGCTGTCTCCCTCCCACGGGGGCCCCAGCAGGCGAGTCCAGTGAGAACCAGATGGAGCATCCTGAGGCCTCACCAGGAAGAGGGTTGTGGCCACTGGCCAAAGGCTGCCCAGTTCTCACGCCTTTAGAAGTCGCAGGCTCGGGGGTGGGGAGTCCCTCCACTATTTATGGAGCCGGAAATAGTAATGTCCCTGAAATGCCATGACAGGAGCGGGGAACCAGCCCGGCTCACCCAGCAGACGCCCTTGTGCCCCAGGGCCAGATAGGAGGGACAGAGGGCTGCACTGGGGGCCCTAAGGCGTGTGGCAGGGATAGGGGTCCCCCGCTCAGCTGCTGGGGCCACCTCTCCTGTCATGGTGCAGCCTTGTGCTCATGCCCTGGGACCCTTTGGGACTCTGCACCAGGAGGGCGGGAGAGGGTTTGCGGTGGGGCCCGTCGTTTCGTCCAGCCGTGGGCAGTGGGGGGCTTGTGCATGGCAGTGACGAACACGCAGGTCCTCCAGTTTGGAACACGGGGGAGGTGCCTCTGACCATGAAACCCCCTCCTCGGTGTCCCCCTATGGGAACACGTGACTGTCCACCAGAACCCAGGGAGAGGGTGCCCAGCAGCACTGTGTATGACGGGCCGGGGGCGCCTCGCTCTGGGGCTGCTTCCCCCATTGTTCTGACCGCGCACTTTCAACGGGCGTGTGTTGCCTACGATGCACTTCAGAGCAGAACGAGGGAGAGCTGTGCAGCTACAAGGAGGGTCGGTGTCTGCGAGTGGACGACAGCCTGGGCTCGTGCCTGCAGGCCCACCAGGCCGACTGGCTGCTGGGGGGAGGGGGAGACCGTGAGCCCCAGCAGGAATGCCATAGATGTGCTCAGACAGCCCCCACTGGCCACTGGCCTTTCTGCTCGCCTGTTTTCCCCACCTGCCGAGGGATGGGACAAGCCCCTCCGCCTCCACCTGGGCCTCCAGTGAGGAAGTGCTGGGGTGGAGGGAGGCTGCGGGGCCAGGGGCACTCTGGACCCATGCTCCCCAGTAGACCTCAGGGCTGGGGACAGAGGTCTGTCTGGACGTGGCCCCTGGCCTGGAGCCAGGTGTCCTTCTGCAGAGGGTTCCGGGCTGGCAGCTCTGTGCCCCCCCCCCCCCCCAGGATGACAGAGCATCTCCTCCAGCCCGTGGGACCAGGCTGTCCTCTGGGAGCATGGAGCAGAGAGACGGGGGAGGGGGGTCCTCTGGGACAGCTGCCCTGAGGAAACATCTAACGTGGGGTGGGGGTCAGGGCTGGGGGTGCATGGTCAGCAGCCAATGACCACTGAGGTGAAGCAGCATCGGGCCAGAGTCGGGAGAGGCGGTTTCCGGGGCAGGGGGTGGGGCTGCTGGCCAAGGGGCTGGGAGAGGGTTAGGAGTCTCAGGCGGGTTCAGAGGGCACCCCACACAGACACCGAGAGCAGGGGCCCGGTAGGGGCACTGGTTGGTGGAGCATTGGAGAGGCTGGCGGGACTGCAGTGTCTCCAAGAAGCACGAAGGGGCGGTGTCCAGCTGTGCCCAGGAGGGGAGGGGGGCTGGGTGCCATTTACACCACCTGGCGGCAGGCAGAGGTGAGTGGGCACGCTCTGATGAATCCCTGGGCACCCACCCATCATACAGCTGCCTGTGGGAGGGTGGATTAGATGGCTTGGAGGCTATGGAGAAAGAGTCCAAGAGTCCATTCTTCCTGGACCTCGGCCCTCCCCTGGCCTGGGGAGGCAGGAGCCATAAACACGGGAGGGCTCAGGCCACTGTGCCTCCCAGGAGAGGGGCTGAAGGCCAGAAGTTTGGTGCTGCGGAGTCAGGGTCCTGGTTGGGAAGTGACCAGACTGGTGGAGAAGCAGGACAGGCCTGCTGGTGGCACCATTGGGTGAGCAGGACACTTGCTTTCGGGTGGGACTATGCATGGAGAGGGTCCCCAGAGGAGGCTGCTGGGTGCCCTCAATGCCACACCCCCTGCCCCCCCCCAACCTTGGGCTGGCCACCAACCAGATGGGCCCCTGGTGCCTGGAGGTGTGAATCCCCAATGGGCTCTCGTGGCCCATTGGGCTGGTGAGCCTGCTGGGGAGCATGCTGGTGGTGGCCACCGCTGCTGAGAACCGCAGCCCACACTGCCCCACGTACTTGCTCATAGGCTGCCTGGCTGTGTCCTGCCTGCTGGTGAGCACGAGCAGCTTGTTGGGGACGGTTGTCACACTGCTGCTGGAGGTAGGCACCCTGGCCACCCAGGCTGCCATGGCACAGCAGCTGGCCAGCGTCCTCAGCCTGCTCACCTGTGGCTCCTGGGTGTCTGGCCTCTGCTTCCTGGCCACCATAGCTGTGGACCGAGACCTCTGCGTCTTCTCTGTGCTGTGGTACCACCACATCGTGATGCTGCCCAAGGTGTGACACGGCCGTCAGGGTGGCCAGTGTCATCTCCAGCACCCTCTTTGTCACCTCCTGTGCCCACGTGGCCATCCTGCTGGGTCCCATCAGCCTCCTCGTGGCCATGCTGGTGCTCACACAGCCTCGCCTGCTGCGTGGCAGGCAGCGCCTGGCCCTCCAGGGCTCTGGCCTCGAGGGGCTCGGCCATGTGCACCACCCTGCTGGGCAGCTTCCTCCTCTGCTGGGGCCCCTTCTCCCTGCACCTCCTGCTCATTGTCCTGTGCCCTCGACACCCCACCTGCCACTGTGTCTTCAAGAACTTGCACCTCTGGCCCTCGTCATCTGCAAGGCCATCGTGGACCCCTTGTCTACGCCTTCCACAGCCAGCAGCTCTGGAAGACACTCCGAGAGGTGCTGCTGTGCTCCCCAGGAGGGGAGGGCAGGTGCTGGGCCAAGGGAGGTGTGGCTGCCACCGAACCAGACTCCCGTGTGGCTGGTGCAGTTACTCGCCGAAGAGGACAGACTAGAAGGTCTCTGGGGGTGTGGCCGCACGGACCGCTGGGGCCAAAGAGGCATCTGCATGAGTGTGGGGGGGGGGGGTTGGGGGAGGCAGGCACAGGGCAGGCCCGGCTCCCTGACAAACACGCCCACTCTGGAAGGGCCCTGCCTAAACCCAGAGGCAGGTGAGGACCCACCTGGGCCCCACCCACCAGGATGAGAAGTCTGAAGCTGGCAGAGGGCTGCCTCCATGCAGCCTCGGGAGAAGGGGTCCCGTGGGGAGCAGGACCCAGACCCACAGGGCTGCCTCAGGAGGAAGTGAGGAGCTGCCCCAGGGGGAGGGCCTTGTCTGCAGGAGCGGCAGTGGGAGTGTGGGGCAGATCTCCTCTGGGCTTCCTGTGCAGGGAGAGCTGGGGCCTGGCCCATTTGCACCACAAGCACCCACATGTAGTGCCAGCCAGCACCTGCTCAAGGCCAAGGCCATCTGTCTGAAGCAGTGACTAGCACCCAGGGTCTCAGGGCTGGGAAGTGTCTGGTAATAAATGCTGTACTTGGAGCAGCCTCATCACCACGCGCCTCAGCTCTTTCCAGAAGTCTCATGAAGATTGAGGGTGGAGGAGCTGGGGAGGCTCGGGTGGGAGTGACCAGGGGGAGAAGCAAGTCCTAGACACCAGCAGGAGACCCCAAAGGATGCAGAGCGTCTGAGGCCGTGCCCTGGGGGAGCGAACAGACCCCCGCTGCACCCAGTCAGATGCCACATCTTTGCTTCTGTGTGTGTGTAAACCCAGCCCAGGGCAGCAAGAGTGAGGGGCAGCTGCTCTGCCCCCAGTCACCTCCATGGTGGCCAGGCTGGCACGGTCCAGGCTGCCCTCAGCTGCCATAGAAGCAGGACCACCATGCCCCACTGTGACCTTGGCAGGGCATGGGCATCCTCTACCCCTGCAGGGGTCCACCGTGGGTCAGGGTCTGGGGTTTCTGTTCCTCCAGCACCATCAGTCTCAGTAAGGCTCTTAAGGGAGGACTTTCAGAGTAGAGTGAAGCTGTCCCCTGGCAGGGGGATCCCTGGGAGTGGCCTCTGGGGTGGACCATGCTGCCTGGTACTGGGGACCCTGGCTGCAGCCCTGGGCCTCTTGCTGAGCAGCCACGTGGGTTCTCCACAGACACTGAGCAGGAGCCAGAGTGCAGGCTCGGTGGAGGCCAGAGCGGTGGCACCAGCCAGCACCAGGGCAGTTCTGGAACTGTCTGCAGCCCCGCCAGCTCCGACCCTGCCAGGCCAGGCCCCACCCCACTCACGCTGGCACTCCAGCCCTGGCTGCTGGCCTTGGGGTTGGGAGCTGGTTCCCGGCAGGGCCAGCCCTTGCCGGGAGACAGGACCGTGAGTCAGCCTTGAGCCAGCACCAGAGCCCCAGGGGATGGAGGGGTGCTGTCCAGGCCCAGTGCCATCCCGCAGAGAAGCCGGTCCCAGCCGATGCGATGCTGCAAAGCTCATTCTTTGGCTCAGACAGGGAGGCACAGCTGGCTCCAGGGAAGAGCCAGATGCTCGCCAAAGACCCCCGAATGGGGGGCAGGGAGGGGCCCCAGGTGGCCAGAAGCCAACCACAGAAAGCCACATCATGGACACGCAGTGGGGGAGGGGCAACTCGAGAACAAAAGACCCATTTCCAGACTTGCCAAACTGGGGAGCTTCAGGAGGGGAAGGGGGGGGCCTGCACACGGCACAGCCCGCAGGCCCCTCCGAGCCTGCACCCTGGACACGGGCCCCACGAACCTGTCGGGCTGACCGCAGATGCCCTTCCTGGAGGGCTTGTCACTGAAACGTCTCAAGTACCTGTTACCAGGTGCCTTCACTAACGTGTGAGCCCAGGCGGCTGCGAGGCCGAGGCCGGGGGTGTCTGTCTTCCTGTGAGGGTCCCCCTCCCTTCTCCTCTGGCCAGGGGACCCTCTTCCCCAGTTTTCCCTGCAGGAGCCTGCACCTCGTGCACACTCCCGCTCCCTACACACTCCAGCCCCTACCCGCCTCACTTGGACCGAGAGTCCGGACACACAGGTGATGCCAGGGAGTAAGACAGAAACGACGGCATGCCGCCGGGCCTCTGGCCGCCGTCCCTCACCTGGCTGGGTCCCTATCGCAGTGCCTGACACGACATTCACTGAGCAGTGGCTGCACCCCAGGCGCCGCGCCTGGCCCGGCGCAACGCCGGTCCCTCCGGAGTCTGACGGCAGCCAGTGGGGGAGGGGCGGTGGCACCCCCACCGCAGGGAGGGAGCGCGAGACTCAGGGTCCCGTAGTGGCCCCGCCGCCCCCTCCCGCACCCACAGCCACTCTGGCTCAGGGTCTCTCAGCCCTGGGTTTGCTTTCGGTGCCTGTTGAGCCATTTCCTGCCCCCTTGGACCCTCGCGGGGTCCAGCAAAGCTCAGAGTACCTTGGCGGCCCCTTCATGCCACCGACAGGGCGCTGGGAGGCGTCCATCTCGCCCCTGTGGGGTGGGAAGATGGGGTCGGTCCCTAAACCGAAGTGTGTGACCGGAGAGGGAGCCCGGGCGGGGTCCGAGGGCTAAGGGACTTCTATTGTCCTCCCTCCTTTCGGGTGAGCGGCCCCCGGAGCGGGCGCGGCCGGGCGGGGAGGCGCGGGAGGCTGCGGCAGGGCCGTGCCGCATCGCGCGGCTGCGCCCCCATTGGCCGCGCGGTGACGCCAGGAGGGCGCGGCAGGCTGGGCCCGGCCTATAAGAGCGGCGGCGGGGGCGGCGGACCCTCGTCGCCAGCCCGGCCAGTCCGCGCCTCCCGCAGCCGCCGCCACAGCACCGAGCATGAGGGAGATCGTGCACATCCAGGCCGGCCAGTGCGGCAACCAGATCGGCGCCAAGGTGAGGCCCCGCGCCCCGCGCGCCTCCCGCATCCCTGCCCGGGCCGCACCCGAGGGAGGGAAGCAGGATGCTCGGTGCACCCGAACGCGGTCAGCTCTGTGGACCGAGAACAAAGCGACAGGCCCGCCCTGCCGCCGCCACCTGCGGCTCCCCCGCGCTCGCCGGCTCCAGGGTCTCTCCGAGCGCAGCGCGGCCCCGGGTCACGCTCCCTCCTCCGCCGGCCGCCGCGGGTGCAGCCGGCTAGCTGGGCGTGGCCCCCTTGGGGTGGCCACTCAGCCTGAGCGGGATGGGTGGGTGGGTGGGCCGGTTTGGGTGGTTCCCCCTGAAAGCCTTAACGATTCCGACTGCCTCCGCCGCCCGCAGGAACGGGAGGTCCTCCGGGTCGTCAGAGCCCCCTCGGGCCGCCAACCTCCCTGTGATAACCTCCGGCTGCCTGGCCCCACCCCGTCCTTTGTTGGGGGAGGGGTTCGGCCCGCACTCGGTGACCTTGGTCCAGGACCGGCCTCTCCCCCGGCGCAGCCCAACCCGGAGGAGCCCCTCTCCGAGTCCGGGGGTTGGGCGCGGGAACAAAGCCGGGCCCCGGGCGTGGGCAGCTCCTCACGGCCTTTGTTAGCCCATCTCTCAGCAGCAGGGATTGGGGCGGGAGGAGGAGGTGGCGAGCGTGCTGCCCCTAAGTCCGGAGGCTGTCCCTTGCCCAAGGTCACACAGCGCCTTAGTCCCCACGGGCGCCCGGCGGCGGCGGCCCGGGATCCGGCGCTGCAGGCGTGCGCCTTTGTCAGGACCACGGCCAGGGACCCGGCGCAGGGAGGGCGTCCAGCTGGTCCTGGAGGGGAGCGGGGGCAGGAACGGGTCCTGGAGGAGAAGGGACGGAGGAGAGGCTTTCTCTGGAGGCTGTTGCCATGGAGACGGCGAGAACAAAAAGCTAATTACGAGGGGGCTGCGACAGCCACGTGGCTGACATGTAAATTGCAACTTGGGCTCCGGGGCGGAGGCCCCGGGATGGGGTCTCGGAGGCGGTAGCCGGCGACTTCTAATCACCGAGGAGACAGCTGCGCCTGCTCGGGGACGGGGGCTGGGGGCGGGGCAGGCGGGGAGGGGACGGCCTGGGATCCGTCGGGGCTCCTGGAGCAACTGCTGACAGCTGCCCGGGCGGGTGGGAGGGGCCGAGGGCTCATTAACGTGGAGCGACGGCCTGGCCTGAACATCTGCTCCTCAGAGGGTCAGGGGTCCCGGGGGCGGGCAGCCCTGAGCCCCCCTGGGCCTGGGGGAGGGGCGGTCCGCTTAAACCCCTCCCTCCGCAGCCGGGGCTGCCTTGTTTCTGGCAAAGAGGCCCCTGCTTCTCTGCGCTCTGACCCCTGCGTTTGCTCATTACTTTTTATTCCTTTTGCCTTGATTTTCTTGATTCATGTTAATTTTGAAGATTAATATCTGATCCTTGTGAACACTTCAAACAAGAGGTAGGAGGATTTGGGGGGAGGAATTTTTTCCTCCTTTCCCAAACACTGGCCTTTGCGGTGACCCAGACTCGGAGGAAGGGCTCAGAGCCCCCCCCCGCCACGCCCCTGCCCACCCCTGCAGCAGCTGGAGGATGGGGGTGGGCGTGGGGCTGCTTTCCTGCCCGTGGGCCCTGTGTGGATCTGGCCGCGGGCCCCGGGGAGGGGCGGAGGAAAGTCAGGGCGGTCTCGGAGCAGGGCGGGACTCGCCTCTCCTGAGCAGTCGCAGGGCGGCATTAGCGACTCCGGGCAAGGACGGCCGCCGCCTTGGGCGCCGTGCCAGGCGCTGTGCTCTCATCACCTCACCAGGGTGTGGTGAGACGGCGTGCGGCCCAGGACACCTGGGGATGCGCGGGGAACCCGACCCCTCCCTCCTCCCCTAGGGGAGCAGGGCCATTCCGGAGCCTTTGTCTGCGCCCCTGCACGCAGGGCGCAGGGCGGGGCTGCGGAGGGGAGGGGCCCCTACGGCCACCGTACCCGCCCCCTCGGCACCTGCCCGATAGGTTAGGGTGGCGCTGGCTGGGGCGGGTGGAAGGCCTGGAGTCTTGGAGGGACCACGAGGCAGCCAGTCCTCCCTGTGGGGGGCGCTGCACCCCGCTTGCCTTGGGCTCCCGTGCCCGCCCCGCCGCCCTGGGATCCTGGGATCAGCACCACGGACAGCGCCGCGGGCCCAGGGCCGGCCCGCCCCGCAGCAGGCGGAGGAGCAGCAGCTGGCCTGGACCCGGGGGCCGTTTTCTCATCTGTAGTGATGACCATAATTATTTCTTACTGAATTTAAAAAAAAAAACCTGTATTTTTAAAATTTATTAAATGTCACATCATCTAGTTTACTAATAAGATATCTGTTTAATGTTTTAAATTACAGTCATTATTAGTTTTAACTACAAAAGCAGTCATTAGTATATTCCCCCCCTTAAAAATGGAAATGTTAGTTCGGGCAGGCTCTGCCCGTGGAGCCGGCTCTGCCCTGCGGGCCCCACTCCAGCGGGACAGCCCGCCACTGTCGTGAGGGCTCCTTTTGTCCCGTGGCCGCTGAACAAACAGGCCTTCCCCTCAAGGGCGTGTCCTGGAGGTCTCCTCCCGGCAGCGACCTTTTACTGTGCCACAGCTTTCCACAGCATGCCGATGTTTTAAAACTACATTTTACTTTTGTTTTAGTTATCCGTACACATGGCTTTACCAATTTAAGTAGCATCTAAGGCCTTCTGGTCAAAGAAGCCAACATGTCTTGAACGCTTTTATGTGTCAGGGCTTGTGCCAAGCACTTGGTGTGGGGCCATTGCCCTGCCTGCCTCCCAGGTGAGAGCGCTGAAGCCCCACCCAAGAAGTGGAGGGATGTCACACACTGGCCAGTACTGGGGTCCTCACCCACTCTGGCCTGCCCCTCCTGGAGCATGGTCCTTCTTCCCACGGGTGGGCTGGTGGCCCAGTGACTGGATGACTCTCTTGGCCCCACACTTGCCCTCTTGAGACCACCCCCCCTCCACAGGGGCTGTGGGTGTCCCTGACGCCAGAGGTTTGGGGTGTCCTAGGGCTGTGGGGACCAAGGCTCCGGGCACAGCCTCAGGGTGAAGGAGGGCGTGGAGAGCCCAGCAGTGGTGGGAAGCTCTGATCAGCCTCTGAATGTCTGAGTGACACTCTGCATGTCTTCCTTCTGACGACAAAACTAACACACAATGCCAGAAGAGAACTTACCGGTGACATAAACGCGTAAAGGGGGGAGGGGCCCCGCCCCCACGTCCCTGGGAGGTGAGCTCTTGTTGCTGACTACAGTCTCTCTGAGGCATGTCAAGACACTGCTGTACAGTTTGTAATAATGACACTGTTCATAGTTTTGAGGTTTTTAAACAATTTTGTCTTTAATCTGTGTGTGTGTGTGCATGTGTGTGTTTGAAGTTAACATGTGAACGTAACAAAGAATTCCAAAAGAGCCAAAGGGTGCACTGGGAGAAAGGGTCCTCAGCCTGGGACCACCCGCCCTTCGCACTGGAGCTTGTTCCGTCCGAGGCAAAAGCACAGTGACCTAGTGTGTAATTGATTTTTCAACTGGGCAGCCTTTTTGCCAGCACATGACCCCAATGGAGGCGCCTGCTTTCCCCGAGGACTTCATACCCCACTCATCTTCTGAAAGCCACCCCCTCCCGACCCTGAGGAGCAAAGGGGAGGCGCCGGGGGCAGCCACAGCATGTGACCTGCCTGCATAGCCCCCTGGGAGCACCCTGGGGGGCAGAGCTCAGCGCAGCCAGGGCGCGTGCTCTCGTGTGGGCACTCGTGCTGATGGTGCTACCCAGTGCTCAGGCTGCCTGCACCAGCCACGTGCATCACACAGATGACTCGGCGCTTTCTCGAAGCGGCCCAGGCCTGTTGCACACACAGAGACAGGTGCAGGGAGCATCCTCGGGACCTGCCCGAGGTCGCGCAGCTGGGAAGCGATGGTCTGCCCCCGAGCCGAGGCCTTGGCCTCGCCCCTGCCTGCTGCAGCCAGGGGCGCACAGGCCCGGGACTGAGGGCTGTGCCAGGCTTGTGGGGTTAGGTGGGGCGACCCAGGCGGGTCACTCCCCACTCCGGCCCCTGTGGTTCCTGTAGCTGAGGCTGCCAATGGCCTGGGCACTGCTGCACCCTGTCCCTGGATGTCCTCTGCCCTGGCAGTGGCTCAAATGTCTTGGACTCTCCCCTTCTCTGTGCCTCCATTTCCTCATCTGAAAAGGGAGCAATAAGAGCCACCCAAAGAGGGTGGTTTCTTACTGACTGGGTAGCAAGTGCGGAGCTGGGCCGGGTCAGCTGAGCCTTGAACCACCCTGGTAACCGTGGACGTGCAGGTGGTAGATGTGATGTTTATGACACGGTCATGACAGGTGACAGAGCTCAGGCCTCTTTCCAAAGTCTCTCCAAGGGGCTAGTGCTGGCTTTGGGTCTGAGCCCTGAATTTTATACCCAAGGCTTTGTGGCCACATGGGGAAAGGGCCTTGTGGGGGATGTGGTCCCCTACTGACCCCTCTGTCCCCCCGCAGTTCTGGGAGGTCATCAGCGATGAGCACGGCATTGACCCCAGCGGCAACTATGTGGGGGACTCGGACCTGCAGCTGGAGCGCATCAGCGTCTACTACAACGAGGCCTCCTGTGAGCACCCCGACCCTTCCCGAGGGCTGGGAGGGCAGCTGGGCTGGGCCCGGGGACCTGCCCTCCCACTGAGGTGCGGCTGGTGTAGCCCGAGACTCTCGCCACAGTGAGGCTCAAACATCCTCTTAACCACCAGGCAGGGAACAGGCAGGGCTAGGCAGGGTTCTGGAGGTCCCCTCGGAGTCCCATGGGTGGGCCCAGAGCAAGGGCCACCTGTAGGGCTTGGGCTGGGGCTATTTAGCACCTGGTGTGGAGCGATGTCCGAGTTCAACTGGAGAAAGACTCACCTGCCCACTCGGACCCTGGAATTGACCCTGGCCATCCAGGGTGTCAGTCTCCATGTTACTCGCGGGGTCAGAGCACATGGCTGGGAGGCCGGGGCCGGACTTCAAGGGCAGGAGGAGCCCCTGAGCCTCCAGGACGCACTTGGCCCACCCTTCTCCCCTCAGCTCACAAGTATGTGCCTCGGGCCATCCTGGTGGACCTGGAGCCTGGAACCATGGACAGTGTCCGGTCTGGGGCCTTCGGACACCTCTTCAGGCCTGACAACTTCATCTTTGGTGAGTGACCCCTGTCCCGCAGGGGGGGCTGACCTCATCACGGGCAAACCCGCATCAACAGGAACTAAGGGGCCATGACCTTGCAGGACAGAGCTGACCCCCACTCTGCAGGTGCCGGTGGGGGCCCAGAGGGAGGGCCTGCGCAGGGGCAGAGACCACCGGGTGCTCCCAGCAGAGCGGTGTGTAGAACAGGGGGTTAAGCTGACAGGCTCGTTGGAGAGCTGCTGGCTGGTGGGCATCCAGAGGACAGTGCTCACACGCACAGCATTGCTGTGACCCAGATCTCAGGGGGCCCTTGTGCCCCGGATGGTGGTGGCAGGCCTCCCCCCACCCCGTTTCTGCCTTTCAGAGCTCAGCACCCCAAATGACTGGCACCAGTCCACATCCAGACGCCGAGATGGGAGGGAGGCTGGGGTTGTAGTGGAGGCTTCCACCATGGCTGGCCAAGGTCAGGCCGGTGGAGGGGAGGGCCGGCCAACTCACCCAGGACCCCCAAGTGAGGCAGAGGGGGAGCTGCATCTCTGGCTTCTCAGTTTCTGACCAGAGCCCGTGGCCTGGCACTGAACAACAGGGCCCCTAGTGCACAGCATGGCTGATGGGGAAAGCCACGGAGACGGGAGGTGTGGGCCCCCCACTTTGCAGGGTGGAAGCAGACGCGCTGCTTCCACAGTTGCTCTCTGGGTTGGGGCATTAAGGCACAGGAGGCCTGACCCTGTCTGTGCCCCCTCCTGACCCCCACACAGGTCAGAGCGGGGCCGGCAACAACTGGGCCAAGGGGCACTACACGGAGGGCGCGGAGCTGGTGGACTCCGTCCTGGACGTGGTGAGGAAGGAGTGCGAGAACTGCGACTGCCTGCAGGGCTTCCAGCTGACCCACTCACTGGGCGGGGGCACGGGCTCGGGCATGGGCACGCTGCTCATCAGCAAGGTGCGCGAGGAGTACCCCGACCGCATCATGAACACCTTCAGCGTGGTGCCCTCGCCCAAGGTGTCGGACACGGTGGTGGAGCCCTACAACGCCACGCTGTCCATCCACCAGCTGGTGGAGAACACGGACGAGACCTACTGCATCGACAACGAGGCGCTCTACGACATCTGCTTCCGTACCCTCAAGCTGGCCACGCCCACCTACGGGGACCTCAACCACCTGGTGTCGGCCACCATGAGCGGGGTCACCACCTCCCTCCGCTTCCCTGGCCAGCTGAATGCCGACCTGCGCAAGCTGGCCGTGAACATGGTGCCCTTCCCCCGCCTACACTTCTTCATGCCCGGCTTCGCCCCGCTCACCGCCCGGGGCAGCCAGCAGTACCGGGCCCTGACGGTGCCTGAGCTCACCCAGCAGATGTTCGACGCCAAGAACATGATGGCCGCCTGCGACCCCCGCCACGGCCGCTACCTGACGGTGGCCACCGTCTTCCGGGGCCGCATGTCCATGAAGGAGGTGGACGAGCAGATGCTGGCCATCCAGAGCAAGAACAGCAGCTACTTCGTGGAGTGGATCCCCAACAACGTGAAGGTGGCCGTCTGCGACATCCCGCCCCGGGGGCTCAAGATGTCCTCCACCTTCATCGGCAACAGCACGGCCATCCAGGAGCTGTTCAAGCGCATCTCGGAGCAGTTCACGGCCATGTTCCGGCGCAAGGCCTTCCTGCACTGGTACACGGGCGAGGGCATGGACGAGATGGAGTTCACCGAGGCCGAGAGCAACATGAACGACCTGGTGTCCGAGTACCAGCAGTACCAGGACGCCACGGCCGAGGAGGAGGGCGAGATGTACGAAGACGACGAGGAGGAGTCCGAGGCCCAGGGCCCCAAGTGAGGCCGCGGCGGGGCCAGGCCACGGCCAGAGGTCTGCGCTAGGGCTGCGCAGCCCCTGACGCCGCCCGCCTCGCCCCACCAGCCCCCGCCACGCCACCCCAGGGCTCCCGAGTGTCCGCCCTTCAGTGTCTGCGGCTCCGTCTTCCCACCATAGGTCCTTCCCTTCCGTGTGTGGCTCATTCGTCTCCGCTTTGTCAGCTCTAGGCCTGAAGTTTTATTTTATTTATTTATTTTTTACTGGTTTATGTTCCTATTTGGGGGGATACTTAATAAATTTATTGCTGTCAGATACCCCTTCCTGATGCTGGAGATGCCTTTTTTTTCTGGAAACTTGGGCCCAGAGGGGCAAGGAGGGGCAGAGGGAGAGGTGGAGCCTGGGTGGGGGCAGGGCAAGAGGCTGCTGTCTCCCTGGCTAGCAGCTGAGACAGGCGTGTCCCTGAGGGGCTCCTGGAAAGGGGGGGATGTCAATGCCTTGTCTGGATGAAGCTTCACCTGAGAACCCCAGGCAGGTGTAGGAGCAACTGAGTGATTCACATTCCAGAGCTTTCCTCTGGCATACCTGTGTGCTGGATGTTAGAGGCAGGAAGGCCAAGACCCAGGTGAGAGGGAGGGAGAGAGGGAGGGAGGACCTCAACCCCTCCCGGGGAAAGTGTGTGTTGAGGGTTGGGGCTTGGCCCTGAGAAGGACTGGCAGGCTTGGGGAGTTGAGGCCAGGGCACCCAGTCACCCGCTGGCAGGAGTGATGTTGGCTCCTCCGCCCCCTGGTGGTCATTTCCTCTGGCTGCAGGCGCCTGGTGTCCCCTGCCTGGGCCCCTGGAAGGCGCTAACTTGGCTGCCCAGTTCCTTCCACAAGGCAAGAAGGGGAAGACCCGCGAGGCCGCGGCGAGTATGCACAGAGCTGGCCCGGGGCCCGACCCTCTTCATGCAGCTGGGGGGTGTCACCAGACCTAGCCCCCCCCCTCAGAAAAGTGGCTTTTCTGTGTGGATATGTGTGTGGAAGAGGGGAGCCCAAAGGCACTGAGGGCCCCCACCCAGACCAGGGGACTGGAGCCCCCAAGGGCCGAGTCCCCGGCTGTGCCCTGAGCCAGGGGCAGCTCCTGCTCTGGGCGGATGGTTCTGGCCACCTGCTCTGCCAGGCGGTGGTGAGCAGCTGACAGCTCTCCGCACCTCGCGCCCGAGCAGCCGAGTAGCAGTGTGTGACGGAGGTCACCCAGCAGGTGGGGACTTGTGTCCTGGGCTGGGTCCCCACCACCATGTGGTGAAGGGGGCTGGGCAGCAGCAGGGCTCCCCCGCCGTCCAGGGGGGTTCACGGGGCTGAGGTCCTCCACCAACTGGGGTGTCAACAGCTCAGGTTCCCAAAGGGTTCTGCGACCTAAAAAGACACGTGCCTAGTGCCGGCACAGGCCCTCCCAGCCCCTGACACCCACAGGTGCTCATGCTGGGCTGCAGTCCCCTGTCTCACCGGGCCTACTCTCAGTTAGCCTTCGAACCATCATCATCATCATCATCATCATCATCATCATCCATGTTTCACAGCAAAGAAACAAAGGCTCAGAAGGGAGGGCCTTTGCCAGCTGGCGGGCGCAGAGCCCAGTGTCCGGCCCACAGCGGTGCCCCCCTGCACTGTGCTCTGCGTGGCTCCACGGCCCACTTCCCACCCGAGCACCCGTGCCCACCAGCACTCCGTGTTTGCTCTCGTCACTCAGAGGGGTCCGACCCGGCTGCCCTGCCTTGTGGAGCTGGCTTTGAGGCCAATGGCTCCGTTCTCTCATCCCAGGCCCACTCCCAGCACCAGCGGGATGCGCAGTGAAACTGGGTAACCCATAAACAAGACTCCCCGGGGGGCATGTGGATACTAACGTGCTCCTGAGTTGCTAAAGCCAGTGATCCTGGACGGGGCCCCCAGCAGCGCACAGCGGGACCCATCCGTTCCTGTGGTCACGAACACTTGCCCCCGTCCCAGCCCTGACTGGGAGGTGCTTACAGATAAAGAAACAGGTGCCGATGGGGGAAACAGCCCCAGGACACCCAGCCTGCTGGCCAGGGGACTCCCCCTCTCCACGGAGCCTTGCCCAGCTGCACAGAGCAAGTCCCTGTTTTCGTGTTTCAGGCGCTGGGGTTCCATACAAATTCGTTTGAAATAGAAGACTCTTACTCTCACAGATCTTTGAAACCTGGCTTGGATCGTGACCAATGAGAGTGCCTGCACACCAGGTCCTGGTGAAGTTCAGCCTTGGAGGCCACCGGACACAGCTGCCACTGCAGCGGGCGGGGTGGGGTGGGGTGGGGCGGGGTGGGGTCCCCCGGAACAGAGGCGCAGGTCCGAGGAGCGCCGGAGTCAGGCAAACCTGGAGTGCAGCAGAGTCCCCGTGGGCTGGGGGCAAAGGTGAACACCTGGACCTGGGTTTGAAGCTGCCCAGGAGCCCGTTTCCTGGGGACCTGCAGGGCTGAGGTAGACGTGGGGGGTGGTGTGGAAAGCCCTACCTGAGGCCCACTCCCACCTCGTCCGGGTCAAGTGACCACGCATGACTCAGAGGCTCCCGGCAGGACCCACGCACCCATCGCCACGGGCTTCGAGCGCGGGGCTGGTCAGCACCCTGCCCCCACCCCCTTTCATAAGCTGCAACCCTAACCCTAAGACGCTGCTGTTGGGAGGTGGGGCCTGCGGGTGGGGCCCCCATGGACGGGGTGCGTGCCTCATGGAAGTGACCCCAGAGAGCTCTCTGTCCTTGGTCACTTGAGGACACAGTGAGCAGCCGGCCCCGACCATGCTGGCACCCCGGTCTCATATGCCCAGCCTCCAAACTGTGAGGACCACATTTCTGCCGTCGCCCAGTCTGTGGCCCTTTGTCAGAGCCGCCCGAGGGGCCGAAAGCCCTCCCTTCGTGTGAACTCACTGAAGCCGCTTTGACAGGCTCCCCACACAGGGTCTGTGAAAGGGCTCCTCCACGCGGGGTCGGGCCCTGCGGCGTGTTCACGGTGTCGTGGTTCGAGCTCACTCCCCACCCAAGCCAACTGGGGCAGACCCTGCAGACAGCCCGATGCTCGGCAGCAGCCGAATGGATAAACCAGCTCTGGTTCCTCCACACCAAGGAGTGAACTGCTCATGCCTGCGCCACACGGGCGAGTCTCAGAATGACTTTGCTGAGTGATGAAAGGCAGTCAGCCCTGGCTGGTGTGGCTCAGTCGGTTGGAGCATCGTCCGGCAAACCTAAGGATCGCGGGTTTGATTCCTGGTCAGGGCACGTGCCTAGGTTTTGGGTTCGGTCCCTTTTGGGGGGCGTGCAAGAGGCAACCAACTGATGTTTCTCTCTCTCGCCCTCTGTCTCTCACACGCTTCTCCTCTCTCTAAAGTAAATAAGTAAATAATTTTTTAAAAAAGAAGCCAGTCGAAGTAAGAGGATACAAAGATGAGAGGACATCCACCTGAGTGAAATTCTAGAAGACGCAGCACGGTGACGGAGAGCTCATCAGTGGTTGCCTGGGACCAGAGGTGGGACAGGGACAGGGGACCTCAGAAGGTCGCGAGGGAGCGTGTGAGGATGCTGGCCAGGTTCACTGTCGTAATCACGGTCGTAGTTCCTCAGGTGTGTGCCTGCGTCAGAGCTTTCCACCTGGACCCTGGGACAGGGCAGCTTGTTGTATGTGCACAGTACTTCAGCAGACTTAAGAAAACAGAAACGTCAGTGGCTCGGTCTCACCACAAATCAAAGCCAACTGTCCACGCACCCGCCCCCTCTCACTTCCCCTCCTACCGAGCTGACTTGATTTCTGTTTCACAGGCACAGTGGTTTCTTTCGGTTCCTCAGGGCCTTTGCACATGCAGCTCCCCTTCTGGACCCTTCCCCCCAGCTTTTCTGTGGTTCTTCCCTTCTCACCCTTGGGTCTTGGCTCAAGCAAGGTGTGCCCCCCGCCCCGCCCCAGACCTTTTTCGTCTCCCTGTTCATCTCCTTCTCAGAGCTCATCATGTCTCTCGTCACGAGGCACCTCTGCTCACCGAGCGCTGCGACCGTGTCTGTCTTCTCGGCGCTGCGTCACCGCACCGAGGCCGAGGCCTGGGGGGCCCCACATCTGGTGCTAACACAGGTCTGTGCAGTGGGCCCCCTGCCAGGCGGGGGCTTCTTCCCCTCGGGGTGGCCTTGCTTGGGAACCCTTCCTTTCCCCAGTCCCGCCCCACTGCTCTGGGCTCTGGGCTCTGAAGCAGCCAGGGAGGCAAACAGAACTTGCCTGCACCCCTTAGTTTCTGGTGGAGGTGGAGGTGGTGCGGGAGGGGAGGGATGGAGAGACGAGCGCAGTGAAAATGCGTGGGGCAGGGAGGAGGGTTACAGAGAAACGAAGCAGGGATGGGGGAAGCGGGTCAGGCCTTCCCACAGTGGCCTCTGCCCCGCTCCCCCGCCCCCACGCGGCAGTCCGCACCGAGCAGCTTCCTAAGCTCGCTGAGCCTCAGTCTCCTCTGCAAGACGGGGCAGGTCGGCAGCCGCGAGCACCGCACAGGTGGGCAGGCGGCCGTGCGTGCACAGAGGCGGCTGCTTGCCGGCGATTCCCTCTCCGTCCCCGCCTCCCCAAACACTGGGGTTGGAGTCTATTTAAACCAGGACGTTTGTAATGACGGGAAATCTAGGGAATTGCAGAACCCCCCGCCTGGCCATACCACCTTGAACAGGTGAGATCCAGCGTTTCCCATTTCTCGGAGCGGGACGTGACAGGGAAGGGCGCGCCGACTCCGGGACCCGCGTGCCATGAGCCTCCCGGCCGCAGGCGGCAGCAGCGGGCGGCGGGTCGGATACAGTGTAGCGAGGGCGGCGGGCGGGATACTATGTAGCGAGGGCGGCGGCGGTCAGGTGAGCTGCGGAGGGGGAGCCTAGGCGGATCGGTGAGGGCAGGGGGTGCCCGGGGTGGAGGAAACCGGGGCTCCTGGCCCTTGGGTGCACACAGCCTGCCGCGCCCCGGAGCTCGGGCAGCCCCCTTTCCCGACGCGGTCACGAAGGACTCGAGGGGTCAGGGATCTGCCCAAGGCCCCGCCCGCGCCCAGGAAGGTTCAGACCTGCGGGGTCGCGGCGCCCACGTACCGTCCTCACCTGGGCGCAGGGGCGCGTGTGGCCCCAGCTGTAACCCCACCCCGATGGGGCAGGGTTTAGCAGCTCCAGGCGGGGAAGAGCTCCCCCAAGTGACATTGTCTCCGCTTCTTGCCGTCAACCCTTGTTTTTTGTGGGATTCCTGAGTCCCTCGGGGACCCTCATAGCTGCTCCTGCCTCCGTGGATGCTGGGCTGCTGTGAGTCCCAGTTTCCTCACCTATGAAGCGGGTGGGGTGGTGGAACAGACTGGCCCCTCCGCCAGCAGGTTAGTCCCCAGAGAGGGTCCCCAGAGTGTCTGCCTGTTGCTCTTGTGGGTGAAGGTGGGGGAGGGACCGTTTGGGAGTGGCTGGGGCCCTCAGGCCAGCGGTGTGCACCCTGCCAGACTTAGTGACAAACAATCCTTAAAGGGACAGCACCCCAGTTCCTGGTCCTGGTGGGTTCCTTGCAGGCCTCTTTCGCGGTCTGAACAGACAGTCTGTGTGGTCTCCCCTTCCCACTCCAGGAAGAATTCTAGGGACCTCTGGTGGTGGCTGTGGTGATAACAGGACCTCTTGGAGTCCCAGCCACAGGCAGGACATGTGGGTCATGGTGAGGGCATCTGAGCTGCAGCCCAGTGTCCCTCAGCCATGCGCCTCCCACCCTGCCGCTCAGCTCTGGACTTTACTCCCCTGGGTCTCCTTCACTGCTGAGTCCAGGGGTCCCCTCCCCATGGGGGGGGGCAGCCTCTGGAGGAGTGTGGAGGGTGGGATAGCTGGTTTTCTTGATTCGTCTCAGTCTCTGCCTTCCTGACCGTTCTTCTGTGAGGCCAGGCCTGGATTTTGGGTGCCGAGCTCTCTGTGGGATGAAGCTGCTGGGGTGGCGGGGGTGCCTGGCATTCCCTGGCCCCTCGTGTGAGAACTTCGTCTGTCTGCCCTCTGCAGCCCGGAGGGAAGCATGACACTCTGACTCAGCAGGAGAGACACTGAGGCTGGGAGTGGCCAGGCAACCCCACTCATCTGTTCATGCAGCACCTCTGTGCCGGGCCTGGGGCCGGCACTGCCCACGAGGGGGTGGGCGAGACGGGCTTGTTGCGCAGGAGCTCTCAGCTGGATGGCAGCTGCTGGGAAGGGCTGGGTGTGCCTGCCTCCCAGCTCCTCTGGCTGCACTGTAAAATTCTGCGAGGCTTCCAGGAGGAGAGCCCAGGGGTGGGCTGGTCTTTGCGTGATGAGAGTGGCCGTTGGCTCAGCAGCAGCTCTGGGCTGTGGGCATCACTGCCAAGTACAAGTACGTAGTCCTTTCACGCACCCCAGGAGGCCTGCCTTGCTTGTGGACAAGAAAATGGGGTCACGCTGGGAGAGGCAGAGTTTAAGTCGTGTCTGTCTGATTCATAACAATAAGAGCAGCAATGACAACAATAAGTTCTACCCGGAATTTATTGAACGCTTACTATGTGCTGACCAGAGTGTCCAGAACTCTGATTAACATTAACTAATGTAATGTTTTAAATATATATTTTATTTATTTACTTTGAGGGAGGGAGTAAGAGAGGGAGAGAAACATCAGTGTCCAAGAGATACACCCATTGGTTGTGAGATACATCCCTCTCGCACGCCCCCAACTGGGGACCGGCCTGCACCCCAGGTATGTGCCCTGACTGGGAATTGAACCATAGACCTTTTGGTTTGTAGGCTGGTGTTCGGTCCACTGAGCCACACCAGCCAGGGCTAATTTAGTCTTAACAATAACACTGTACAGTGGGTGCTATTATTATCCCCATTTAAAACGTGAGAAGTCGAAATCCACAAAAAGCTTAGGCATTTGCCCGAGACCACATTGGATCCGTCTTACTACCATAACGTGCTGGGTTGATCAGTTAGGGTCTCTTTTGGCTGCAAGAGCCAGAAATCATCCCCCCAATAACAGTAGTTTAAACAGAAGTTTATTTTCTTTCTCATTTGAATGAAGCCCAGGGGTGAGCTAGGCTGAGCTTCTCTGTTACAACCCAAGGTGACTGCTCCAGCTCCACCCATTGCGTCTGCATCCCAGGCAGCAAGAGGCAGGGAGGGATGCAGAGGGGCAGTTCCTCCATGTAAGAACAATTCCCGGATGTGTCAGGAGATCTGTCCCTGTACATCCCATGTTCAGAGTGTAGCATGTGACCACATCCGGCTGCTGGGAAATCACGTGAGAAGTTGAAAACCAGGGCTCTCCCCTGTCAAAGGAAAACCAGATCTGGACGGGTGCCAAAACAGATTTGTTCAGGACCATTGCCATACAGCTGAGAAACCTTTGTGTGGGACCGAGCTTGACTCCAAATATGTCATGGGCCCCCTGGATTAATAGTCAAGGGGCAGGATGGAGTTGGGGGGTGAAAAAAACGCAGAGAGGAAATGTCAAGGGCATGGAGGATTCTGGCTGCAGGGACCAAACGGGATCTTTGCTGAAGGTGGGGCAGGATGATCAGACCCCTGGGGTGGGGGAGCACGAGGAACCCATCAGATGAGGTGGGGTGACCAGGTGTCAGGGTGGGGCACGCCTGCTGGGCTGGCTTAGCAGTGTGCTTGCTGAAACTGGGTTTCACAAGGAGGGCACAGAGGGCCTAGGAGCAGGTTCAGGGGCCTGAATAAAGTCTGACCAAGCAAAGACTTCATCAGCACTCAGGAGGAGGGGTTGGTGAACACCAGGGCAGCTGGGGGCAGGGGTCACGGGGCATCAGGGCCCGACACCCTGTGTGAGGTGCCCATGGCACCTGTGTCCTCCCGTGCTGCCCTGGGGGCAGCCAGTCTGTGGGTGCCTGGTTCTGCCTGACGGGACCTCCCAGCCCCCAGCCCCACCCACAGACATCAGACAGGGAGAACAGGTCCCGAAGGTGGGTGGGGGTTCCTGGCCAAGGCAGGACAGCTGGCAGGGAGCCGGGTGCAGGGACCCTCCGTAGGGCTGCTCCCGTTGGGCGCCACGCTCTTCCGTGGCAGTGGGGTGGGGGTGGTGGCAGATAAGAGCCAGGGGGTTGCCTTTTATGATTACGAATTGTTTCAGACTGTAAATGGGTGTAGAGAAAGCATAACCCACACCCAGAAACTCACTACCAAGCTTTAAAAAACCTCTTCTGCTTCCTACAGACTCATATCAGCCTGGAGGCTGAGGAATGTGGCCCCGCTGGTTAGGTGGGAGGGCCTGGGGTGGGAACCGCCCCCAGCCAAAGCCCCTTCCTCTCACAGCGGCAGCCCTCCGCCTGCTCCAGTTCCCTGGGCTCTGGGCAGGGGAGCGGGGCCAGGCAGTGGGCTGGGCACTTCCTGCGTTTCCTGGGACCCCCAGGTGAGAGGCCACACCCTGACTCAGGCTACAAGTCAAGTCCCTGGGAACCAGGCCAGTGAGCTGCTGGCTGGCATGGGGAGCCCGTGGGGCCCTGGAGCCCAGGGAAGGGCCTGGGTCCTGGCATCGGCTCCGGAGTGCCCAGCACTGTGCTGTCTGGTGATCCCCGTGGACTGCCAGGCTCAGGGCTGTGAATTTGGGATGCTCTGACCAGAAAGGAGTACCTTGGTGTGGGGGCCAGGGCTGAGGAACTGAGTTCTGGTAGCTGTGTGTCAAGGGGGCAGCCAGGCCTTCTCGTCAGACAGTGTAGGGCGGACGGTGAGGGCAGGGCTGGCCGGAGCTGCACAGGACCCCAGGACTGTGCTGGGCGAGTGTCTGCTGGGGCCCCCTGGAAGCTCAGGTCCTCCTCCTGCCCCTGCCCGTCCCATCTGCTCTCTTCCTGAGGGGACACCACTCCGAGGGCCTGAGTGAGCGGCTGACTGCTTTGGGGAGGGGCTGAGGATGGGGGCCGTGGTGTGGGGGCCTCTGCTCAAACGCCCCTGGGGAGTGAAAGAGGCCAGGCATGCCCCCTGAGAGCCCCCAAAACAGCGGGGACAGGACACAGCGAGCTGGGAGCTGGCCACTCATGGCTGCCCTGCCTTGCCCGGCCCGCAGGTGGGATGCTATGGAATATGACGAGAAGCTGGCCCGGTTCCGGCAGGCCCACCTCAACCCCTTCAACAAGCAGCTTGGACCAAGGCAGCATGAGCAGCGGGCCACTGAGGAGGCCCCAGACACCACTTCTGAAGGTGGGTGCTGGGGCCGGGGGCCATGTGGGCAGCGTGACCCCTCGTCCCGGCGCCTAGCTCCCTTCCCAGTTTCTGTGGTGGAGGGGGCTGGCTTTGCCCCTGAGCCGGGCACCATGCTGGCCGTTTCCTTCTCCCCACATGTTCCCTCCCAAATGGCAAACGCCGGGGCAGGGCCAGGCTCCCCTCGGCACCTCCCGTGGGCTCCCGGAATCCCCAGGGGCCCTTCTGACCCCCCAGCTGCCTGGCCTGCCCCTGGGGAAAAGGTGGACTGACTTTTTCCTCTCTGTTGCCCTTCACGCCTGCACCCCGCTCGCTCCAGAGAGCCCGCCTGAGCCGGAGTTCCACTGCACCGAGCGCGTGATGGACCTGGGTCTGGCCGAGGACCACTTCTCCCGCCCCGTGGTAAGATTCAGGGCACCCGAGGTGTGAGGAGCCAGACATTCCCCAGTCACCCCACCTGCAGGCAGAGGGGCTGTGTCCGTCTCAGCCAGGGCTCCTCAGCCTGAGGCCCACCGGGCACCGGGCACCCCTCGCCAAACCTGTCGGAGGGCTGGTGGGGATGGCTGCGCCTGGCTCTGGGAGCCGGGGCTGCCCCTCCCAGGTGGGGCTGCTCCTCTCCCTGAGCTCCAGGGTCCTGTGAAGCAAGTGTGAAGACTGACCTCGTCTGGGCTCCTGTGGCCGTGCTGCCGGGCGAGGGCTAGGGAGGGAGAGAGGGGAGCCTCCCGCCCGCCATCCACCCTCACTCGGGTCTGGAGGGCCACTCTTTGGTCTGTTCTACACTTTGTTACAGGAAAACTTTATTGAAAATTTAAAAAAAAACATAAAAGGGCTCTAATGATTTTTAAACAAAAAGTTTAAAAATATTTCAGTCTTATGTAAATGGTCTCCAACTTTTGAGAGAAGCATTATAGTAACATTCAAATGTAACACCAACCAAAAAAGATGCACCTCAAAGCCCCAGGTTCTAAGGAACTTCCCATGTGGTATGTGGCTTTAGGCTTTGCCGGTGCTGATATGTAGTTCATCTACGTGCTTTGTATCTCCACGATGGCATCTTCCAGGCCCTCCTGTGAGCCGTACACTGAGCTCCAAAGGAGGGGCTGTGCCTGGCCCCTGGGCAGCCCCACCCCCAGCTCTCACTCCTGAGCGGCCTCCCTTCCCCAGGGGCTGCACTGTCCTGAGTCTGATGCAGGCTTTGCTGGGTCACTGTGAGGTGCTGGGGCCGGGGGTGTGGGTGCCTGAGGCGTCTCTGGGCCTGGCGATAAAGCTGGAGGCCACTTCCTGTCCTTGATGATAAGCAAGTCTCGCTTCCCCAGCTTTAGCAAAATAGCGTGGCCAGGAAAGCAACTGGGTTTCTAAAAGAAGGAAGTTGTGTTTTGAAAACTATCCTGAATTAGGTCTTCGGAGACCTGTGGGTAGATGGTCCAGCTGGGGGCAGGTGGTGTGGGTGGTTCCTACCTGGGCCGCTAACTCCCTGGGCCTGGAATAAGTCCTTGACCCCTTCTGGGCAAGTGGAGGCCGGGAGGTCTGCTTGGGCCTAGCAGCCCACTAGGACAGGCATGGCCTGGACCCGAGGGGCATGGGGTGGGCATCTGACTTGTGTGCCCCGCCCCCCAGGGCCTGTTCCTGGCCTCGGATGTCCATCAGCTGCAGCAGGCCATCGAGGAGTGCAAGCAGCTGATCCTGGAGCTGCCTGAGCACTCCGAGCGGCAGAAGGACGCCGTCGTGAGGCTCATCCACCTCCGGCTGAAGCTCCAGGAGCTGAAGGTGAGTGCAGGCGCAGCCCACCGTGGAGGCAGCCGGAGCTGAGCCAGGGTGTGGAAGCCTGGAGGCCTGGGGTGTCCCTGGCTCCCTCCCAGGGGCCGAGGCAGAGGCTGCCCAGAAAGGCAGGGGGCGAGCTGGGCTTCTCTATCAGCCTGACCCTAACTGGCCAGTCCTGGGTCAGGTGCCCACCCACTGCAGCAAATGAGTGAGGCAATTTGCACATTGAACCACATGACTCTGATTGGGGGGTGGGGGCTCCTGGGGGGGTCACAGCAGGGGTAGTGGATCCTGGCAGCCCAGGCCACATGTGTCTGTAGTGTCCTGGAGTCTGTGCATCTGTCTTAGCCACCACTGTGTCCCTGTGCTGGCCAACGAGTCCCTGGGAATTTAGACTTGCTAGGTTATAGGCAAGGCTGTGGCAACAAAGTCTCTGAGATACAGTGACCTAAAGGAACAAGGTATGTCACTTAACTCGTGTAGAAATGCTGTGGGTGGTCCAGGGCCCGTATGGCAGCTAATGGTGATGGGGACCCCAGCTAATGGTGATGGGGACCCCAGCTAATGGTGATGGGGACCCCAGGTCTTCCGTTCCTGACTGGGTTCCAAGGGGGCCCGAGTCCCCACCCAGGTCTGCACTCAGCCAGCAGAGAACAAGGGAGGAAGGTCACGTGCCCCCTGTTCACCAGCCCGTGGCCGTGGCAGGCAGCACCTACGTGCAAGGGGTGCTGGACAGCTGGTCCAGGCCTGACTGACCACTTGGTGTTCCATCGAGAAAGAGCAAAGGGGCGACATTAGAAGAGGCTCCTGTCTGTCACAAATGGCGCCTGGGAGCAGTGAGTCGAGGGGCTTGTGTGAGGGGAGAGGAGCTTCAGCGGCCCCTGGGCCTCTCTCTCCAGGACCCCAATGAAGACGAGCCCAACATCCGCGTGCTCCTGGAGCACCGCTTCTACAAGGAGAAGAGCAAGAGTGTCAAGCAGACGTGTGACAAATGCAACACCATCATCTGGGGGCTCATTCAGACCTGGTACACCTGCACAGGTGGGCCCAGACCCAGACCGGCCCCTGTGGGTGGGCAGGCGGGTGCCTAGCACAGGGCAGGGGCCTCGTGGGTCTGCTGCGTGTCTGGGCCGTGGTCGGGGCGTTACAGACTGTGTGGGGCATTCGCTGAGCCCTGGGCGTGCGTGAGGGATGAAAGACCCAACTCACGCCTTCTTAAATGTAAACGAGTTAAAATAAATATTTAGTTTCTCAGTTGTACTATCCACGTTACAGGTGCTCAGTAGCCACAGGAGGGCGGTGCAGGGAGGGTGCTTCCTCCACTGGACGAGAAATGACCAGTGAAGGACATGGTGTGGTGGATGACGTAGCAGAGTGACGAGAAACGAGGAGAGGGAGCAGCACGTGTTGGGCAGTCGGGCGGGTGTGGCTTCAGGGGGATTGAAAAGGCATCCCGGGACATTTAAGGAAACACTTGGAGGTCAGGGAGCAAGCCAGGTGTGAGTCTGGGGAAGAAGGTTCCGTGGGGAGGTGGCTACTGTGCAAAGGCCCTGTGGTCACTGTGACTGGTGTCCTCGGGGAGGAGCAGAGGGCAGGTGGCTGGACCGTTGTTTCTGAGGGGCGGCGTGGCTGACGTAGGCTCCGGGGTTGCTGGGGCCTTTCCAGGAGTGAGCTGGCGGCCTCGGCAGGTGCTGCATGCACTCGGGCTGCAACAGGCCAGTCTGCCTGAGTGGAGCAGGGATGGAAGGAGGGATGCCAGCGTGGTGGGGGAGGGGAGGGCACTCTGACCCGGGCGGGCACTGGGAGTGGTGCGTGCACACTCCAGGAAGAAAGAGTGGCAGGAGAGAGGAGGGGGGCTGACTTCAGGGTTTTCAGCCTCAGGAGGCGGAAGGAAGGCGGAGGTCTGAGATGGAACCGTGTCTGTGCTGGGCTTGGGAAGGAAGAGCTGGAGCCCCACTCTGACCCCGTGGCTTGGACGGCCTTTATGCGTCCCGGTGGGGATGTCAGGTGGGCCCCTGGGCTTTTGAATCTGGAGTTCTGGGGCCAAGTCTGCTCACGCCTTCAGGGCAAGGCTCGGGACAGGGGCCAAGGGGCCTGCGGGGGGAAGCTCTCGGATTGGTCTGGAAATCGAAGTAGCCCCCCTGGGGGTCCTGGCAGCTGAAAGTCAGCCTGGGCTACCGCCCCCGCTTCTGAGAGTCACAGTGTTGGCACCCCACACCACCCCAGGGTGTTACTACCGCTGTCACAGCAAGTGCTTGAACCTCATCTCCAAGCCCTGCGTGCGCTCCAAAGTCAGCCACCAAGCCGAGTACGAGCTGAACATCTGCCCGGAGGCGGGGCTGGACAGCCAGGATTACCGCTGCGCCGAGTGCCGCGCGCCCATCTCTCTGCGTGAGTGCGGGCGGAGGGCGGCTCTTCTGGGCAGGGGACAGGCCCACAGCGGCGTGAGGACACTGGGGAAGTCAGGCGGCCAAGGCCAGCGTGGCTCCTGCAGACACGTCTCCCTTTCCTGGGGGAGCGACCAGAAGCTGCTGTGGCACCTTTTCACCTTCCGCCAGCAGCCTGGGGGTCCCCCCCGGGTCACGGAGGAGCGCCCTTGTGCGGCCCTGTTGGGACCGACAGCGCACCTCCTCGGGGACTAGGAGAACCCCACCGCAGTCACGCACTGCTGTGCCTCAGGCCTTAGAGATTCATCGCTGTGAATGCATGGGGTCCCCTGAGCAGTCCTGGGAGCGGCCCTATTATTGTCCCATCTTACTGGTGAGCAAACCAGGCAGTGAGGCGCCCTGACCCGGTCAGGTTTGCAGGGTGGACCCCCGGACCCTGTGGGCTCTTTCTCTGGTGTGCCGTGGGCACAGCTGGGCGACAGGACAGCACCACGGGGCGCAGAAGACGCCTGCGTGTGTGGCTGGCACCCTCAGAGTAGCCCCGACTTTGAAACAACCGGCCCGGTCCGCAGGAGGCGTGCCCAGCGAGGCCCGGCAGTGCGACTACACGGGCCAGTACTACTGCAGCCACTGCCACTGGAACGACCTGGCCATCATCCCTGCGCGCGTGGTGCACAACTGGGACTTCGAGCCACGCAAGGTGAGGTCAGGAGCGGGGAGCGTGGGCTGGGGGCGTGGCCATGCCCAGTAGGGGGTTTGGGGGCGTGGCCTGGAGCGGGGGAAAGGTGGTGGCGTTGTGTTGGAGGCGCCACCTTTGCCTCCACTCCCAGGTGTCTCGCTGCAGCCTGCGCTACCTGGCGCTGATGATGTCACGGCCGGTGCTCAGGCTCCGAGAGATCAACCCCCTGCTGTTCAACTACGTGGAGGAGCTGGTGGAGATCCGGGTGAGGCACCGACGGGGTGCGGGCGGACCTTGCTCCTCGCAGCAGGGGGGTGGGGGTGGGGTGTGGCGTGCATTGTGGGAGCTGAGGGGAGGCCCACCTGCCTAGATTATGGCCCCTCGCCGCCCTGTGGATTGAAAACACTAGAGCAATGTCCAGCCTCAATGTGATGCTAGGCCAGAGGAAATTTGGAAATTTCTAGTAGCTACATTAGAAAAGTTAAAAGAAGCAGGTAAAGTTATTTTGAATAACATATCTTATTTAACCCAGTATACCCAGAGGATTATTTCAACATAACCTGTAGACATCACTGAGACATTTTTGTACTCTGCCTTTGAATTCCCAGGTGCATTCTGCACGCACTGCACCTTCGTCAGCCCAGCGAGCCCTCGTGTGGCTGTTGGTAGCCACGTAGGTGGGCCACCCACGTGTGGCCTCCAGCCGTTTCCCATGAAGTGGTCTGAGGGGATTGGGTTCTATTTAAAGGGCAGGCTACGAGGCAGAGCCTGTGTGTTTGCCAAGGCCCCTTGGGCTGGGCTGGGTAGGGCTCTGCGTCCTTCTCAGACATGGGGTGGGGGGGTAGAGCCTCAGGGTCCTGCCTGGCCTGGAAGTTGTGCTTTGAACTTGAGCTTGGCTGGAGCCCTCAGGCCTGAGCCCTTCCTGCTGGTGTGAAGGTTCTGACCCAGAGTGTAAGAGGAGATGACCCTCTACGGGGGCTGTGTAGGGCCAGCCCCTGCCCTGGCCCAGGAGGCCCACCTGCCTGTCTTGTCTGCAGAAGCTGCGCCAGGACATCCTGCTCATGAAGCCATACTTCATCACCTGCAAGGAGGCCATGGAAGCACGTCTGCTCCTGCAGGTCAGCCCCCCCACGCAGGGTCGGGGGAGGGGCGATGGGCCACGGCCGGACAGATGGGGGCACATGACACTGCACCTTTGGCGAGGGGTCTTCCACACCGTCCCAGGCAACTCCAGGTCTATGTTAGCAAACAGGCCTTCTGCCCAAAAAGTGTTCTTTGATTACCCCTGAGGGGGCACCGAGAGAGATGGGCATCGTCCCTGCAGCCTCTCTGTGACTCTGCAATGCAAGGACCAGGCGCAGGCTCACCCTAGGTATTCGTGCGGCCGGTGCTCACTGAGCGCCCGCTGGGGCAGTAAATACACTGTGTGGCCTCTGGGGGGCAGCAAACAAAACAAGGCCTTTGCCCTCATCTTAGGGCTGCCCTTCAGGTGGGGAAGGCAAGAAACACCAGCTGCTCACAGGTGGGCGAGGTCCGTGGACAGGATGAGGCAGAGAAGGGGACGGGAATGTTGGGGCAGGTCCGGGAGGAAGAGCCAGTGCCAGGCAGAGGTGGGCTGTACCTGGGGCCTGTGTGGCTGGGGGGCTGAGCCTGTTTCCTCCACAAGCACCCAGGGCCTGGACGGTGGGTGGGCAGGGGTCGGGGGGCCGTGGGAGGGGCCCTCCCTGGGCTCGGAGTCACGGCTGCTGGACCCGCAGCTCCAGGACCGGCAGCACTTCGTGGAGAACGACGAGATGTACTCGGTCCAGGACCTGCTGGACGCGCACACGGGCCGCCTGGGCTGCTCGCTCACGGAGACCCACACGCTCTTCGCCAAGCACATCAAGCTGGACTGCGAGGTGGGTGCCCCACATCGAGGACCCAGCATGGGCAGGGAGGGCGGCGTGTCGGGGCCAGGTGCTCTCAGGAGCAGTGCTGACGCCCCCCCCCCCCCGCCAGCGGTGCCAAGCCAAGGGCTTCGTGTGTGAGCTCTGCAGAGAGGGTGACGTGCTGTTCCCCTTCGACAGCCACACGTCTGTGTGCCGAGACTGCTCCGCCGTCTTCCACAGGTGGGTGCGGCCCTGACCCCACCCTGAGGCCACAGGGTGAGGGACAGGCAGGGAGACACTGGGGGCTTGGTCTTTGCTGCCTCGTGTCCAAAGCCCTCACATTGCCCCTGAGATATGGAGTGAGGCCTGACGTGACCGAACTGCATGTCCCGCCTGTGGGGCTGGGGAGGCTGCAGTGTGAGCCCCTCGTCCCACCTGCTTCCCTTGTCCCCAGGACTGGGGCGGGCCCCTCAGGGCTGGCACAGGCCGGAGTTTCCTAGACCTTCCAGTTACTGGCACTTCCAGTAAGTGTCCAAGTAGTTTTTTTTTTTTTTTCAGACTTCTCCAGGCTAAAAAAAACCCTAACATTTTGTTTATTAATGTTGAATAACTTAAACTTTTATGAAGACTGCCTGTTTGGAAAAAATAATACACATAAATTGGAAAAAGTATTTTAGCTGTTTAATAAGCATGATTACTAATAACGTGTCCACCTCCTGGGCCCTGCACAGCGCCTCACAGTGGCCTCAGATGGGACAGCACTCCCCCATTTCTGCCATACTGGCTTTGTCAGCCTCTTGCTGTTGGTCACAGCAGCAGCTGGCGTCAGAGCTGCGCAGACCTGGGACTGCTGTCACAGAAGGGACGAGTGTGGAAATTGAACTCCCGGGAGCTAGCAGTTTGCATGCTGTGTGGCAGATGCCATCCACTGCTGCGCCCTGTGAGCGCCCTGCCCGTCCCTGGGGTCTGACCCTGTCTCCCAACCCCCAGGGACTGCTACTACGACAACTCCACCACCTGCCCCAAGTGTGCCCGGCTCACCCTGAGGAAGCAGTCTCTCTTCCAGGAGCCCCAGGCCGACATGGATGCCTAGAGCCATGGGCACCCCTCCTCGGCCTGCCTGGAGCCCACCCTCCTGGCCATTGCCAATGCCAAGGTGTTTCCTGTGCTCTGGAGACCCCTGGGGTGCAGCCCCTGGACCTCTCCCCCACGCTGGGCCTGAGGGGCATAAGTGCCACAGGGACCATTGTGTCTGGGAGTTTGCTGGGACTTGGGGCTGTGCCTGGCTGTTTCCTGGGTGTGCTGCTGCGGTGAGGGCTGGAGTGTACCCCCGCCCCTACAGGGCTCCGTGGGCAGGGGAGTGGACAGCTTCTCTTCTTCCCTGTGGTGAAGAGCCCCCCGTGCCCTTGGAGCTTAGGCAGCAGGGTATCAGCCACCGTGCCAACCCTGGTTGGCCTCAGGGGATTGGCTGACGAGACCCGAGGATGCCGGCTGCACACACCCAGCCTGGGCCTGAGGCTCATGTGCAGTGGATGGTTTGGGATCTACTGGAGGCTCCCATCCCCCCAGCCCCTTGTTCCTTTGGAATCTTCTGGTTGTTCCTGGCTGGGGCTCCTCACAGCTGTCCCCCAAGGGCCCTGGCCCTGTCTCCACGGTTCTCTCCAGTAGGTGAGATGTTGCCTGGAGACCAGGAACTGACGGACAGGGACAGAGCCAGTCCTGGGCCTTTCTGTGCCACAGAGAGGGAAGGGGGCCATGGGGCCCTCCTCTGGTGGACTGGCTACAGCTCTGACTTGGCCTCATCCAGCTCTGGCCTCACCCTGCTGCTCTGAGCGGGTGGCTGGGAGTCCTGCCTCCAGGTGTGGAGACGGGGAGACTCCAGGTTAAGCAAGAAGATTGGTTACAGCAGACTCGAGTAGCATTTCTGGGGACCAGATTTGTCCCACCACAGTGCCTGTGGAGGAGCCTGGACAGCCTGGAGACCACCAGCCAGGGACCTTTTCTAGGGGGGCCTGAGGCCAGGCACTGGGAGTACCGGCTGCAGGGAGCTCCAGGCAGGAAGCCTAGAGCCCACAGAGGAAGAGGCCCCAGCACCTGACCCACTGCTCCTCAGTGGGGGAGCTGCGCCGACTGGACATCTGCAGGGAGGCCCGTGTGTCGGAGACCCTGCACCGAGGGGAAGGCCTGAGGGAAGGCGCTTCCCTGGCTGCACTGTGCTCAGCTGCCTCGCGCAGGTGCAGGGTGGTGGGCAGGGGACACAGCCACTGCGGTGCCCCTCACCTTTGACTGGGAAGCCCACGGGAAGAGGTCGTAGCCAGCAGAAGGGGCAGCTCAGCTTGCTGGCTGATGCGAGGGGCACTGAAGACAGTGCCGTGTGGTGGCTTTAGGCGACCCTGCTCTGCCCTGCTTCAGTGTGACAGCGAGGAGCGGGCTCAACGACGGGTCCTCGGCCCACCTCTCCTCTGGGGCTGCAGAGGGGGTAAGGGCAGGTGCCTCGGGTCTGCACGTTTTCATGGCCACACGTTTCTGTCGTGGGGACATTAGCCATCCCTGAGTTTCCCGTGTCACAGGGTCCAGAGAAAACGTAGGCATGCTGGCATTTGTCCGACACAGCTGGCTCCCCTCCCTTTTTTTAAGCTCCCTTAATTACCTCCTGCCTCAACACCTCCTCCCCACCTGCATCTTCTGGATGACAAAGTCTCCAAACAGAATCACGGGTGGTCTGAGTCCACAGCAACGTAACAAAACCCACCGAGAAACCGGTTTGCACCTCCCGGAGGAACAGTGAGGGGCACCCAGCTGGGACAAGGTTGCAGCCACTGTCTCATTAAATCTGTGTACTCCAGACTCTGCTGTGTGTGGTGAAATGGGGGCAAGGCAGGGCGTGTCGGACACACGCCTGAGGTGTGCAGACGTATCTTCTGTGAGGTGGTGAAGGTGCAGACAGTATCTCACAGGTTGTTTGGGCTCTGGGGGGGTGGGAGCACTGAGCTGGGCACACGGAGAATGCTCAGGAAGCAGAAGCTATGTCTCACTTCCAGAGTCCTGTGGTAGAAGAGCTGTCTCGTTGGCCAGTGTAGCAATGAGAAAGTCACAGGTCCGGGGCCCGCTGCATTTGCTAGAGCACTGCAAGGGCTGACACTGAACCTCAAGGTCATGCCAGTCACCCTTGGACATCAGGAAACCGTAAATCCCCAACACAAATTACATCCAAACCTCTGTACATGTACATTTTTCTACAGGGAAATCTGTGGATTCGACGAGGATCTCAAAGGGGCTATGGTGCAGAAAACCTCAGGAGTTTCGGCTAGGTGACAATGCTTTGTCTACATGCGTGGTGATCAGATAGGCTGTCAGCAACCCTGCCCCTAAAGCTTGCGGCTGAGCCTCAGCTACAAACAACTGAAGCTCTACTTTGGATATCGGGGAGGATGTGATCTTTACCCTCCCCCACTTTCAGGTTATGAAATAGGATCTTAACATTTTTATTTTGACACACTTAGGCTTACAGAACATTGCAAACCATTCCTATGTACCGGTCTCCTGGATGTCCTAAATATTAATAGTTGGCCCCATCTGCTTTATTCTTTCTCCACATGTACCTTTTTCTCTGAATGGTCTCACATGGTGGGTTGCAGAGACAATATCTTTCAGTACTTGTGTGTATTCCTTCCAAACAAGGGCATTATCTTACGTGGCCCCAGGGCAATTATCAAAAGAAATGAGGAAGCCAACATTGACACAGCACAAGAAAACTTACAACAAGCCTTGTTTGGGTTTTACCACACAGCTGTCAGGTCTCTTTCACCTTCTTAAATCTGGAAGGGTGCACGGCACCCACTGTTGAGAAGAGCACAGGCTACTTATTTTGAGGAATGTCCCTCAGTGTGAGTTTTCCCTATTGGATCTGGGGTTTGCACTTTGGGTGGGGATTCCGGAGGCGATGCTGCTGTACCCAGTGTGGCACCTGGCTTGCGCCCGGAGGTGCTGACTGTGCCTCACCTGTTTCTCTGTCCTTCGAGCTATTCCTGTCATTCTTCAGGTTCTCATTGACCTTCTGGCATAGCCAGATGTTTCAGGCATATCCTGTCCTTTCCCAGTCCCAGCCCTGACACCAGCCATTTCTCCAAGGAGCCCCGGTGCCTTTCAGTGGGAAATGGTGTTTGGTAAACCACTGGGTGTGCTCGTGGACACTGGACTGTCACTGCTTCTTGGTCCTTTCAACAGACAGAGCTGAGAAATAGCCCTCCCTGTCTATTTCTCTATTTGACAATAAACATTAAAAACCACGAATTCAGATAGTTCTCATTTCCAAATGCCACAACTTTCATCCCCCCCCCACCATTGTTATATTTGTAAGTCGTCGAAAGTGAGAAACCTGGCCCCATGAGCCTTAATATATTTATTTGCTCAATCCTAGAATATGCAGAAAGTGCTTTCAGGATTACTAGCCTATGCTTTTGTGAAAAAGAAGTTTACTACCCAGAGCTTAATAATTGTTCAGAGTTCCTTTTTGTCTTTACCCTGACGGCACACAGTCAGACTATGGCTCAAACATCGCTCAGAATTTGGGTATTCCACTTTCACTGTAGGTGTACAATTAATGTGAAATATAGTTGTTCATACGTTTCATTCCATTTCCCTACCATTGTTTATTTTGTGGCGTGAACATAGTCCCCAAAGTCAGACCTTTACAGGAGGCAAACTCAGGTGTCACCCTCCTGCCCCAGCCCTGGGACCCTTTTCGCTCCCTTCCCATAGGTAGTGGTTCTGAGTCTCTGGTTTCTCTTCCCATGTTTCTTTTTGCACAAATGAGTAAGATGCAGGAATATTTTCTTATTTCCATTTTTTCTTCCACAAAGGGTAGCACACTATAGTGCTTTATGTTGCATTTTTTCAGTTAATAGTATATTCTGGAAACCAGTCGACACTGGCTCAGAGTTTTTCCTCCTCCTGCTGTTGCTGACGCCACTTCCACCTGTGCTCTGTCACATCTGCGCTCTGCCACTGCCACCGCACTCACCGCTCTCCCGTATGGGAGTACTCAGGGTGCGTTCGCGTCTTTGCAGTTACAGACGATGCCACAGCAGATAATCTGGGCACATGCACTTTCTTTTCTCTAGAGTGCAGTCCTAAAACATATTCCTAAATCTAAACACACCTATTTTTAATGAGTGTCTCATGCCCCTCAGTAAGGGTTGCACCAGTTTGCATTCCCACCAGCAACACGTCAATGTGCCTGCTACCCCACAGTCTCACCCACAGAACGTGCATCAAACTCTTTAATCAGTGTTCCAGTCTGATTAGTGAGAATGGTATCTGTGTAGCTTTAATTTGTATTTCTTTAAGTATGAATGAGGTCAAATTTCTCTGTTTCAAGATCTAATTTATTTATTTATGAAGTATATGTTCTGTTTACTTTTCTGTTAGGTTTTGGGTCTTTTTTTCTTTCTTAGTCTTTAAGAGTTCTTCACACATCAGGAATATTACCTGTCATCTATGAGACATGTCGGAAATATTTTATTCCATTCTGTCAGTTGTCCTTAACCTTGTCTGCAGTTTTCCTCCTGTGGAAAGGTTTCATATTGTTTACATTTTTGTAGGGTCAAATTGATTCGTCTTCTTTTTTTAAAATTAATTTTATATGGATTCTGAGTCGTAGAAAATCTTCCTCCATACCCAGGTCAAAGACACACTCATCCGTGTAATTTGTAGTACTGTTCCTACAAATCAATTTGAAGGGTTCATTTTTTATATTTAGAATCCTGATCTGTTTGTTTATTCTTGTGTATGCTGTGAGGTGTGTGTCTGATTTTAAGTTTTTCCAAATGGCTAACAAGTTGTCCTTCACTGTTTTCAAAAAAAGCCTACCTGCATTTAGTTCTGGACCAATTTGTTCCCCAGTCCTGACAACGAAACTGCGCTAATCACAGCCACAGTGCGTTTTAATGTCTAGAAGGGCTGGTCTCCCTTCCAAACATTATTTTTTCTGTATTTTTAAAGAAATGTTTTCCTGAGTATTCTAGCATGCAATCTTTTTAAAGCACATAGTTAAATAAAATTTTAATAACCAAATTTGAGACTCTCAAGTGTCAAATTAAAATGCCAGAAGTAGGGCTTCCAGGAAGGCTGAATGTCTGGAAGCAGACAGGCTTGGCTGGGCTCGTCTGTGGGGGTCACTTCGTTGTCTCTGGCTTTACTTGGCGCAGCTCTTGCTCACACGCACTGGAAGACAACCTAGGGCAGTTGCTTCAAGCGCCGCTTCTTCTCATTGTACAATTCCCTGTAGCAGTTGATTGCATCATTGATTGCTCTGGAAACTTTCAGCTTCCACTCATCATTGGGGCAGCTACTGGTGAGGAGCTGTAAACCAGCCTCGAAATGTGAGAAGGCTGTCGAGAGCTCTCCTGTGGTCAGCTGACGAAGGGCAGGCTGGGCGTCTCCGCTCTCCTCCTCTGCTGCTGGCCTCCGCCCCAGCTGCATCAGCTCCTCATTGGAGAGCGTGTCCTCCTGAGACTCTAGCAGCTGGGTGATGTCAGCTTCCACAACTGTTTCAAAGGCCGCAGTCTTGGCAAGGGACACAACGTTTTGTTTAAGCTGTGTGGCGTCATCTGATTGGGCAACATCCTGGGACAGAACACACTGGGGCCAGAGTTTCTTCCACACACTGTTCATTGTTGCTGGTCTGAGCGCCTCCCAAGCTACTGCGATGTTGTCCACAGCATCCATGATGTTGTAGTTTCTCCAAAACTCCCTGATCATCGCTGTATCCTCACCATCTGTCGCTTCTAGGATGTGCTCAAAAGTCCTTTTCAGGTAATGAGCTTTTAAGGTAGAGGCTACACCTTGACCCATGGGCTGCATCAGGTTAGCTGCACTGTTGTGAAGATCTTCCACTCTTACGTTATCAGACAGATCACTCAAACCGACAGGGTGGCATGCTGCATTGTCTAGGATGAGCAATGCTTTGTTGGGTAGGCTATTTTGGGCACAGTATTTTTCAACAGCAGGATAAAAAAAGTATGTGAACCACTCATGAAAAATGCTCCTGGTTGCCCAGGCCTTTTTGTTTGAGCGCCAAATCACAGGTAAATTGGGTTTGGAGTAGTCCTCTAGAGCCTTGGGGTTTTCTGAGTGGTACACCAATAAGGGCTTCAACTTGAAGTCCCCAGCTGCGTTGCCACCAAGAAGCAGCATCAAGCGATCTTTGGAAGATTTAAACCCTGGCTCAGCTTTTTCTTCCTTAGCAATAAACGTTCCTTCAGGCATTCTTTTCCAATAAAGCCCTGCCTCATCTACATTGAAAACTTGCTGGGGGGTGTACTCGCCTTCCTCGATGATGCTTTTCAGCATTTGCGGGTACACGTCCTTGCTGCCAGGAGCCGTGCTGTTCATCCTGAAGTGGGGCAAACAATGGCGCTCCTTGAATCTCACAAACCACCCTTTACTTGCACGAAAACTTTCTTTTTGAGAGCTCTCACCTTGTTCACGCTGTAAGTCATCAAACAAACTTTTGGCCTTCTCCTGAATCATGGTGACACTCAGGGGCATGTTTCGCTGGCTCTGGTCTTCCAGCCACACACGCAGCAGCTGCTCCATGGTCTCCATGACCGCGCTTCGATGGCGAGTCAACCAAGAGGCTCTCAAGGGAGTAGCTATTCGAGAACTCGCTTTGATTTTTTCTTTGTTATCTCGGATTGTCGCCACTGTGGAGACGGCAAGGTCTAAGGCCTTTGAGTTCTGGCTGAGCTTTTCACCCACTTCAAATCGTCTTAACACTTCTAATTTTATGTCGAGGGTAATTGCTTTCCGTTCCCTTTTTGCACTTGGGATGGCCGTTGCATTCAGGGGCCTTTTCCCGGGCATTTTGCCTCCAAAATGTAATGAAATCACCGCAGCCTCTGGGGCAAGGTGGCCTGTGGTTGCTCTGCTCGCTCGCAGGACTTGGGAAAGAGAACGGGCTGCGCGGAGGCGCAGGCGGGCTTCCCCAGAGACGTGGAAGGGTCACCACAGGCTTGCCCAGCAACAGGAGGGCTCATCCTCGACCCCAAGGCGGGCAGCATGGGTCTCTGGGGTCCATCAGTGTCCAAAGTCCTGGACGGCACAGCTGCAAGCCCATCCACACTGGATTTCTGTGATCCAGAGAACAAACAGAAACTCGTGAAGGCGAAAATAGCTGCACCGCACACACCAAGGCAGTTCTTTTGTTCAGAGGGTTGTCCTGGCGGCAGTGAGCCCGTTCTCTGAATAACTCGGGGTGCCTGCTGCAGCGGCCACCTGGGCAGGGAGAGGTGGTGTTCGCCATGGGGGCCGCTGCCCATGGAGGACCCAGGAAGTGCGTGTCCTTGTGGATGCCCGATTCAAAATAAGTCTAAAAGCGCTCCTCTTAGCACCTAGCCCGAGCATGCGCTAGTTTCTGTGCTCGGCTGACTGAGTAGGGCAAGGCGGAGCTCCTGTTTAAATCTTTAAAGAGAGAGTCAGGCGGTACAGTAGCCTCCTAAAGAGAAGTCCCGGAGCAGGCACCGTGGCCTTGCTGCTCCTGCGCGCGGCTTCCCAACGCCCGCTGGGGCGACTGCGGGGCGCGGCGCCGCTGTGACTGATCGCCGCTGCTCTGCGCCTGCGCGCGCCCTAGCCGCGCGCCAGGTACCGTCGCACCGGCTGGTGGCGGCGGCCCGCGGCCGGGCGGTGGTCCGGGACGCGGCTAGACGGCCGGGTCGGGCGTCAGGGCCCTTAGATCCGCTCCGCAGGTGAGCCCCGGACAGGTGCTCCCGCCGGTTCCGGAGGCGGGACGGGCGACGCCGCCGTGACGCCATCCGGGTGCGCGGGCCGGCTTGGGCGAGCCGGATAGGGAGCGAAGGGCAGCCGGAGCCGTTTCGGCCAGGTCCCCTCCGCCGAGGCGGCTGACCCTGGCCTGAACCCGTTGTCCTCCGACCCCGGAGCGCCTCTGTTCTCGCAGCCCGCTCCACGCCTCCCTCGGGCGCCTGAAAAGGCGCCGCGCCTCCCCTCCCGCTCCCCAAAGCGCCCACGTGGAGCGGTTTGCGTGGGAGCCCCGCTCCACACGACCCTGCAGCGCGTCGTCCCGGCACCTCGCGGCGACCGCGAGTCCGCTTTGTGGTGCGCCCCTCGGACAGGCCGTGTGCTTTGTCCTCACCGGATGTGCCCATGGACGGGGAATAGTTTTGTGAATCCTTACGGGTTTTTGGTTCTGCCACTATTCGTTGAGCCCAATTACTAGCAGGTCGTGCTGCTCGAGGGCTCCGTGCTGAGCCTCACACGACTCTCGCTTCAGTCTCACACCCGGCCTGCAGGTGGGTGCCGCCGCAGCCGTGTCTTACCGACTAGGGAACGAAAGACGAGAGCTGGTTAGTGGCGGCTGGCACTGTGCCGTTCAGTCCTGCCACACTCCCGCACCTTCATTTTAAATACTCCTGTGTTGTACACCTTCTCCCGGGTTAGAATCCGTGAAATACTACTCCATGTTTTAAGGTTGTTTGGTATCGACGCAGGGGGCAGTGATCACATTGTGTTTCTTTTCCCTCCCTAATACACTAATGTGGAGTTTTTGGATTTTGACCCAAGAAAGGTATCTTGATCTCAGATGATCGTGAAAGAGGAAGAGAATCGCATAAGTTTATTTTCCGTCCTGTCTTCAGGGGTGAACTTTCCCCTCATGTCTGTTCATTTTGGAGACAGTATGTGTCAGGTTTGAGTTGTTCCTAGCAGTATCAGTGAATGCAAAGCCTTCACCCTGTGGCCACGTGGTGTCCCAGCCTCGAAGAGGGCTGTCCTGGTGGAAGTCAGCACCTGACTGGTGCTGCACCTGGCACAGGTGTCTTATGAGTCGTGAACTTCCGTCCCCATGGGACGTGTACAAGGCCCCCATGTTTTCAGTTAGGAAGGGAGGAGGGTGTTTTCCCAGACTGAGTCACTTATCCTTTGAGAATCTCCCAGCCAGGGGCATCATGGGGAGTAGAACAGGCAAGGGCTCTGCCCGGTGCGCTGCTCTCCTTGCAGGGCGTGCCGATGTGTTGGCTGAGGGGCGCATGGCAAGGCTGGGGTGGCAGCAGCTGCTCTGTAGTTAACCATGTGCCCCCGGGGTCAGCACTCATTGGGGGGGAGCTCATGCCTGCCAGGCCTCTGACATGTCCTCTTTCATTCAGCGAGCTTCCTGCGCTGTCCCTGCCAGACAGCGAGCAGGTGTGTGGCAGGGGAGGAGATTCTAGGGGCTGTGACAGGAGAGGAAGCAGGAGCAGAGTGGTAGAAAGGGAAGCCTCGAAGGCCAGTGTTACTGCAGGTGGGACCGCGAGGAGCTCGCCGGCAAGCTGAACAGCCAGTGCCGGGGTGCACCCTTGTGCATCTGAGGCCCAGGTCAGGGGCCTTGTTTGTGACCTGGCTGGAAGTGAGTAGGAAGAGGCAGCAACACTGGGCCTGTTGAAACAAGACCTTGGTGCATCTGGCCTCCAGCCCTAGCTTTGCATGTGCAGAGACTGGCGGAAAGGCTCCTCCAAACCGAGGTGGAGGACCCCTGGGACTCTTCGGGCTGCATCTGACCTCATGTGGTTCCCCAGCCCAGTCGGAAAAGGACGGGCTCTGAGCTACAGGAAAGGGATTGGATGTTTCCACAAGTGTTGTGGGAAGGGTGGTACTTGGTAGATCCAGGGCTGTCGGCCTCCTGATAGGGCGTGGAGCTGCCAGCCGTTTCTGGGCTGCTGTGGGGAGACCTGGGGGTTAGACTTGTTGCCACGCTCCCAGCTCCCTCTTTCCTTCCCCCAGGCTCTTGCTCACCTCCCTGCACTCCTAGATGGGCACAGCGGCGAGGGTCAGAGGAGGTGATGGAAGCACCTGCTCCACCTTTGGGCTCCTTTGTCTGGATCTCCTTCTTGCAGTGCTTGTTGTTTCATAGGGTCCCACGTGGGGGCGCTGCTGTGCCCGGGAGATGTCATCCGTCTGCAGAAGTTGGGGATGCGGCTCCTTTCTGAGCGTCCGTCCCTGTTTGGTTTCGCCCAATGGTAACTTCTTTCTCTTTCTGGAGCCCACTGCACTTTTCAGTCCACTCTGGCCTTTGGGAGGATTATGTGAATAATTTAGCTAATTAGCGAGTTGATAGTCACCTGGGAATGAGTTTACTCTGGGGAATAGCTGCCCCACCACAAAGGACAAATAACAGGTGCTGTTCCCTGCAGCTCCAGCTTTATTGTAACAAAGTATCGGGGAGACCCAAGTCTGTGCTGTTTTGGGTTTTTAAAATACAATTAATCCTGAGTCATTGAAGGCACTTAGATTTCTTTTTGGTATGGTGGCTTTTACTGTGCTTGTTTTTGCTGTAATGGTTTTTGACCTATAATAGGGAAAACCCGAAATTATCTCTAGCTCTGTCCTTAACTGATGTTAGTTGCTAGCATTTATGGTAAAAATTGGCACTTTCCCTCTGTGAGGACGGGAGAAAATGCTGGGTCCAGAAAAGTGTTTGCACTCCTGGGCCTGACAGAAACACTCTCCTTTGGTTGATCAAAGATAAATCATAGTATTCTTTGGTTTTTAATTTTCACATGATTTTAGTCTTAGAATTGTGTTTGTTTTTGAGGTTGTAATAGTTTCCGTGACCAAGATTGCCTTGGTCAAGAAAAGGTTAGTTGTTTCTTTTTTTTTTTTTGACAGTTGTAAGCTATAAACATTCTTTATGCATTTCTGCAGTGAAGTTCCTGTCTGAGTAATTTTTTATGGGATATTTAAGCAGCTAAACGAAGGCAGCAAGCTTACACCTCAGGCTTCGTCCCTGGCCCTGCACACCCGTGATCGCCACGGTGGGGAAATGCCTGTGGGTGCAGAGCTGGCCCTCTCGCCTGTGTGTGTTTCAGCGCCTCCAGGGCGGCGCTTTCAGTTGCTCGTTCTGCCCAAGCCTGACGTCTCTGGAGAGCTGGCCAGTCACCCGTGCGTGCCTCCCCTCAGTGTCCTCCCCTCACTCACCTGTTGGCCGGGTTGTGGGGCAGTGAGAACCTCTCCCTGTCAAGCGGTCCCCCCCACACTAGACCCCCCGTGACTCAGACATCACTTCTAGCCCGGATGCAGGAAGCAGCAGCAAAACCTGTGGGTGGAAGGCGCCTCCTGACGCCACCCTTGTGCAGCGTGTGGGACCTTCTGAGCTGCAGGCCAGGTCCCTGGGGGCAGAAGCGCCACCGCGCTTCTGGGTGGAGCACTGCCTGTGGGGCAGACAGGCCGGAGCCTGCCCTCGCCCAGCAGAGGCTGTGACCACCCCAGCACGGCTGAGGGCAGGGGGCCCTGGGCGTCGCGTCTAGCTGTTCGTTCCTCTTCTGCCTCTTACTCCGTGGGGTTCGGTTTTATTTATTTTTTATTTTTTTAGTGTTTTTTTAAAATATATTTTATTGATTATGCTATTACAGTTGTCCCATTCCCATCGCCCTTCAGTCCCCTCCACCCTGCACACCCTCTCCCACCCACATTCCTCCCTTTAGTTCATGTCCATGGGTCATAATTTCTTTAGCTTCTACATTTCCCTTACTAATCTTACCCTCCTCCTGTCTACTTTCTACCTGCCATCTATGCTACTTATTCTCCATACCTTTTCCCCTTCTCTCCTCCTCCCACTCCCCTGTTGCTAACCCTCCATGTGATCTCCATTTCTGTGGCTCTGTTCCTGTTCTAGTTGATTGCTTAGTTGTTTTTTTTTTGTTTTAGGTGTGGTTGTTAATGATTGTGAGTTTGCTGTCATTACCCTATGCATGTTTTTTATCTTCTTTTTCTTAGATAAGTCCCTTTAACTTGACCTTATCTGAGAAGCACTTTATCTGCCCTTCCATTCTAAATGAAAGCTTTGCTGGATAGAGCAATCTTGGATGTAGGTCTTTGCCTTTCATGACTTGGAATACTTTCCAGCCCCTTCTTGCCTGCAAGGTCTCTTTTGAGAAATCAGCTGACGGTCTGATGGGAACTCCTTTGCAGATTTCTGTCCCCTTATCTCTTGCTGCTTCTAGGGTTCTCTCCCTAATTTTAATCTTGGCTAATGTAATTATGATGTGCCTTCGTGTGTTCCTCCTCGGGTCCAACTTCTTTGGGACTCTCTGAGCTTCCTGGACTTCCTGGAAGTCTATTTCCTTTGCCAGATTGGGGAAGTTCTTATTATTTGTTTAAATAACTCTTCCACTTGTTGTTCTTCCCCTTCCCCTTCTGGTACTCCTATAATTCGAATGTTGGAATGTTTAAAGATGTCCTGGAGGTTCCTAAGCCTCTCCTCATTTTTTTGAATTCTTATTTCTCCATTCTTTTCTGTTTGATTGTTTCTTCCTTCTGGTCCACTCTATTGTTTTGAGTCCTAGTTTCCTTCCTATCACTATTGGTTTCCTGTGCATTTTCCTTCATTTCTCTTATCGTACGTAGCCTTCATTTTTTCATCTAATTTGTGACTAAAGTCACCCAGTTCTGTGAGCTTCCTGATCACCAGTGCTTTGAACTGTGCATCTGATAGGTTGGCTATCTCTTGGTCACTTAAAAGTATTGGCTCTGGCCCTGGTTGGTGTAGCTCAGTGGATTGAGTGCGGGCTGCAAACCAAAGGGTTACTAGTTTGATTCCCAGTTAGGGCACATGCCTGGGTTGCAGGCCAGGTCCCCAGTACGGGGCATGGGAGAGGCAACCACACATTGATATTTCTCTCCTTCTCTTCCCTCCTCTATAAAAATGAATAAATAAAATCTTTTTTAAAAAAGTATTGGCTCTGGGGCTTTAATTTATACTTCCATTTGAGCCTTTTTTTTGGCAGGGGTGGGGCCTGTGGGGGTCTGGTCGTGCCTGTTACGTTGAGGGGCGGAGCCTTAGATGTTCTCCAGGGCCGGGCAACCCAGTTGCTGGGTTGTGACGTTGTATGTGTGTGGGGCGGGGTCCCAGAGGAAACAATGGCGCTTGCTCCTCTGTCCATCGGATTTCAGTCCCTTCCGCCGCTTCGCCCAAGCTAACTGGGCTCTTCTGGTGCTAATACCTGTGTGGGTGGGCTTGTGTACGTTCCAGGACCCCGTGGGTCTCTCCAACACACTCTCCTGTGAGGCTGGGAGTCTCCCTGCGCCTCAAGCCACACAGGT